AACACATCTTTACGCTGTGAACAAAAAGCATAAGCATTTAACATTATACTGCTGGGAAGTGTTTGAAATGTTTTGTAAATGAGAAAGCTAATCTAAAACCAAATAAAGAGCCGCATCTTGGAGGAAGAGTGATTTCTGGATGGCCATCATATATAGTAACCATTTTTTAAACTCAGGAACAGAGTACAACGTACTGTATGCACCAAAATGTCCACTTTACTTTATGAAAGGCCTTCATGAAACATACTGAATACAGATAAAACATGCATCCAGATTTTCACATCAAGAGGAGAATTAAGTATTGGAGTAACTGCTGTAGAGAATGCTTTTCTAGACTCAGTGTTCAGAGAAAAAAGAACTATAATATGAATCTTTCTTTCAACTCCAAAGTACATGAGCTCATGCCACTTACAGCTGGAATAAATTTCACACAGTATTCTTATAAAATGGGCCTTTTCATATTGCAAACAAACATGACAAAATCCATGTACATTTCTTATACACATATTCCAAATACATTTCTTAAACCTTAATTTTACATTTCAGCACAATGTAAGTGCATAATCCAGCAAGTCTTTTAAACAATTTTAAAAGTATTTAAATGCATGCCTGTATTCAGAAAAAAATTCAAACCTATTGTTATTTTGATAAATTTTACAGATCTTTTCTGTCTGTTGACAGAAATTTTGTAAAACCAATTTTATAAGCCAGATTCTGTAGTTTCCACTCAGTTAAAATCTTATTCAATTACAGTGTAAGCTTATGCATTGACAAAAAATCTAGTTTTCAGAAGGAGTAACAAAGTGGACAGTAAAGGAAAAGAATGTACAAAATAAGATTTCTTGCACAATTGTTTTCAGTTAATATTATGTAATACAATAGAAACATATGTGAAATAAGACTATATCTGCAAATACTGACAACAGATTTAAAAAGATGTGGAATTCAATCCTCATACTGACCGTACAAGTCTTAATTTCTCAACAAATTTCTATTTATTGCTAGTTTTTCTGTTACTGTTTTATACTAAAACTTATTAGAGAAGCTACTAGAAGAGAAAAGCTGAAAACGAGGCATCTAAGACTGCTAAGAAAGCCTTTCTATTATGCATTCATTTTGCCTAATCTAACATGCACACTTCCTTCTCTTAATCTTTATTAGGATAATCATTTAATTTCTGTTTAAAAAATAATTTATCCATGTCCACTGATAATTTCCTATCAAAATTTTAAATCCATATGTTTGCTATTAAGTATTTTTCACAGCAATCAAATATGATGCCAAAAAAAAAAAAAAAAATGTAGATAACATGCACCCCTTGTGACCAACAGGGTCATCATTCTGTTATCACTGTAGTATAAAACCACTTATTAATTTTATTGTTTTCTATTAAGACTACATACACAAATCAGTGAGTTGTAAAGTCTAGAAGAAGGTAAAACACATAAAAACTCCTTAAGAAACTTCTAGTACTAATGAGCTTCCAAAGTAACTGTGGTAAAAAAAAAATCAGAACTTGTATACAACAAGTATTTTCATATTTTGAATTGAAAATATTACCATAGGCTTTTTTTTTTTTTTTTAAGTGCCCTTCTTGTTTCCTTCTCTCCAGCTGGTTTACCAAAAATACTTGTGTCTATCAATGAGGTGAAGGAAAGAAAAAAAAAAAAAAAGTCTGCTTTTATTGAATACAGATACCACAACTCAATCCTAAATTAGAGATCCTCTGCATAAATGTCACTGTTAAATTTATATTTGTTGTCAATGAGATTGTGTTGCTTATGTCTTCAAAATGATACTAAACCAATTGGACTCTAAGAAAAATTTGTACCAATGAAAAGTATCAGTAGCTTTTCCTAAATGTTGAACTAACCTGTTTTCCAATTAAGCTAATGACATCTTAGTATCCCCAACTTGTTACAGTACTTTGAACCTGCAGTTTCAAGTACTAGCATCCATACACATAAAAGCTATTAATGTTTCATAACTTCATAAAATAAAGACATACAAACCAAGCTAATTAAGATGTCTATGTATGATTTGAACCATATTCATCACTTCAAAATATTTTTATTTATTTTTTATTTTTTTTTGCTGTCAAGCATCATTCTTTCTTGTGTATTGGTCAGTTTCTTCAATAAGGCTATATATGACAAGAAATGAAGAATTTACTACTTTTATTCCATCACAGTTTAACATCACAAAATTAGTAGCACACTTGTACACTATATGATTAATACTAAAAACAGACAATGACTTTATCAGCTGTAAAGTAATACAGATATGTTGAAGTTTCCTTGTATGAATTCCTACAATAAGCACATATGAGAAGAATTAATCATACATTCCCTGCAGATTGCTTATACATTTCATCAGACATTCAGTCTGATGTGAATAACAAGAACAATTGCAAAAACACACTACTGCTGCATATGCAACTTTATTCTATCAGCTATAAGATATAACTGTCCTCACAGCAAGAGGTCTTTCCTGAAGTCTTCTGTCATTTCTTCTAAATCAGACTGACCTGATTTGACACTTTTCTATACCAGCAATTATGATCAAGATCCTACATAAATATATGATCAAATATAATGTGTACCAAACTTAACTGCCAGGATTTGACTCAGATCATTTCCCACAATAGCAAGGAATAATTACAGCAAAAGCGAAATATATGTCAAATCATTTTTTTGTACAGATACTGAAGTACTGCCAGGTGATATCCTAAATTTACAGAAAATTCAGAAAACAAATAATAGAGTGTGCTCCAAAATAATAAAGCCATGTTCTGATTCAACATAAATAAAAAATGTAGTCCATATCCAATTAGACAAATATATTTTTTTCAACAATATTGTAAAAATAGACACTTCATTAGGCACTCAGCATCACATGCTACATATTTGAAGACCAGCTAGTGGAACACAAAGCAAGCTGATAAACTTCTCTGTTTACTGTCTCAAAACAGTTCATGCAATTTATCTGGATATATTATTTTAATGCTTTGCCCACAAGGAGTACAACACAGCAATGAGCCGTGCCAAATTGTTACGTTAATAAATAAATAAATAAATAAATAAATAAATAAATAAATAAATGCTTTTAGCTGAATGATAAATTCATAGCTCTAAAATAATAATGATAGAATTCCTTACTAAACTAATGTTATGAGTTTTTTTGTTTTGTTTTGTTTTGTTTTTTTCATAAATGTTACTATAAATTACCCAAAGAGTACTGTGATGCAATACAAAAGTCACCCTGATTCACCACCTCAGAACTTGTAGCCTACGCTTGGTAATTATTCCTAGCTTTAAGTTATAAAAGCAACCTTAAAGCAACTCTGAATGCTATCCTTCTGCTGCTGCTGGTTTTAGTTATAACTGCTTATGTCACTTTAATTTCCTACATAAAATTTGTCAGGTTAGTTTCACTACTGTAACATAAACAAATTTCTTTATTTCACAAAGAAAGGCATTTAATTTGACCCTAATAAACTAGCTGTGATTGATTTTGAATTGTACCTGAAAGTGCAGTATTAATTTCACTTTGAGATGCTTAATAAAATGTGTTTTAAAACACGTTTAACTTCTTCTAATGACAGACTAGGTTAAAAGTAAAATCATAATACATTAGATATTAGATTTGTAATTAAAGTACCCCATTTATTATTCTACTGTACTGTAAAATAACCCAAATTTGCCAAGAATTTGTAAAGAGATAAGTTTCTTTTATTGAAATTCAAATCCATATTGTCCCTACAATAGATACAATAACACATGAAGAATTCAAATCCAAGTCCATTTGGCAGAAATAGAGGGAAAAAAAATGCTGAAATGTTATTGATTCCTTCTGGTACATTCAAAAAAAAAAAAAAAAAAACTGACTCAACTATATTTTTACTGACATAACACAAAGGTTTTATTTAGGTACTAGCAAACATGAACAAATATTTTCATTGACATACTTCTCTTCCTTATTTTCTTTACCTAGGAAACAGTTAACACCCAACTACGAATACTTGCTGTTTCCTGCAAGAGATGCCACAAATGTCAATAATGGGACCACTGTCCCAAGAGAAATAATACCTAGAAAAGTTCTCCTCCCCAGATGAAGATATATTTAGTGCTAAATAACACCTAACAGTAGACACTTCATGACATACCTCTATTTGATCTTTGTACCTTCTGTCAGCTCTACTGCTCAGCTCAGTCCTACTATTCTCGAGTCCCTTTGAAATGAGTTTACCCTTCATATTTTTTTCTTCTTTTTTTTTCTTTTTTTTCTTTTTTTTTTTTTCCTTTTTGGTCATATATCAAAAAAAACACCATCAGTACTTTCAGATATTTCCCATAAAAGCACCTAGAAAGCAGTTCTGTTTCCTGGAACTGTAATCCTCATTAGAAGAAGGAAAAGAAGGAAAAGAAAGATACATTCTATGCATATAAAACTTCATGAAACAAGCTAACTTCAGACATCTGGGCTAAAAAATAAAATAATGCTTACACCTGAAAGAACACAGTATTTATAGTCTTCTCACATTTTATATTATACCAAATGCCCTGTCACCTGGCATTACTTAGCAGGTCACACAGTGCTTTAGACCCCTCCTGAGGATGTATCTCTTTGTTTAGGTTTTGTCTATAACCTACCACATCCCTATACTCAGACTAAGGTAGCACAATATACAACATACTCAGTTTCTTGACATAAGCCATCACCTTCAATTTATTTTTATTTTTATTTTTTATTTTTATTTTTTCTTCATAAAAGATGACCAAACCACTTTATGCACGTTTCCTACTGGAAACAGTTCAAGTTGTTGTAGACAAGTTCCTCTCTGACCAGAACAGAAATATTTAAAAGCATAAAACACACATATATATACACACACATGTAAGTGTGTGTGTGTGTGCATGCTTCCATGTGTATAAGCTAAGAAAAGGGTTGAGGGGTGGGAGAACAGAGGGACAGAAACCAAGCATGGCGCATTTACTTACTAATGCTGTCCACTCGGACCTCTTTGGAAACCTGAAGGAGTCTCCGCTTTCCCCTCCTGACAGTCAGACGATGGATTGTGCCCTTAGTCCACACGGGCCCAGAAGGAACTGCAAAGAAAGAGAAGCACATGCCACATCAGGCACTTCTGTTTTGGTGGGGTCCAGCGCCGGTGCCGCTCGTTTCTTGGGGATATCCCTGCTTTCCGAGCAGACTCCTGCAAAAGAGTCATACTTCCAAAAAAAAATTTTGTTTGTTTTTCCTACCAGTGGTGTTTTGATTTGGTTGATTTTTGTTGTTTTTGTTGTTGCTAGGTTGTTTTGTTTGTTTTTTTGTTTATTGTTGTTATTGTTGTTGTTTTAAGACCTCCCGAGAATTCCGCGCCCTAAAATTTGCTTGGGGGGCTGGCGAAGGGGGGATAGGGAAGATACCTGCAACTCTCTCCGATGAGGCCGGCAAAGAGAGAGAGAGCGAGAGAGAGAAAAAGAGGAAAGAGGGAGGAGAGAGGGAGCGAGGAGGGGTGGGGAGGAAGGAGGAGGAGGGTGCGGGCGGGGCGGGGGGCGGCGGAGCGGCTACCTCCGGGGGCGCGGCAGCGGCCCCAGATCCGCGCCCAGCGCCGCCGGCTGCAGCGGTGCGGGGGGACTGAGAGGGCCGGGCCGGGCCGGGCCGGGAGGCGCGCGCCGCGCCGCGCCTTGCGCAGCCCCCTGCCGCTCCGCCCCGCTCACCTGCATTTCCTTAACGAGCCACTTGATGGCTGGCGGCCGCGGCCGCCCCCGGGCCTGCCGCAACTTTGGCGGCCGCGGAACCCCACCGCCCGCCCGGAGATGGGGCTGGGGAGGTGTCGCGGTGCTGCGCCGGGCGGCTGCCCGCGGAACTTTCCGCCCGGCGGCACGGGCACGAGTCCGGGTAGGGGAAAGAGCGGAAGGTACGGGGAGTGAGCAGTAGGGGCTGTGCCGGGCCCGCATGTACGCGCCGCGGCCGCGGAGAGAGCCCGGGCGCTGTGTGCGCTCCGCCACCGCCTCCTCTCGGCGCCACCTCCTCCCACCGCGCTCCCCGGCGTGTGCGAAAGGAGCGAGCTCCTCGCTATTAATAATAATAAACCCTATCCCCACCTTCCCCCTCTCCCAGGGAAAACAATTAATAATGCATTAAAATAATGCACCTTTAAAGCCACTGGCTGACAATAATAAAATAATAATATTACCACCACTTAAGAGATCGCTGCTGCGGATGTAGTGGTGAAGCACGTTTTCCTATCACACGCAAGTGTGAGCACAAATTACCCTCCTGGTATACATAAGTCCCTTTCCCCTGCCAGAGCAACTATCATCATCCTCATCAAAGAGTCTCTCTCTAAAGCTGAGTGGAGACACTGAATCCCCGGGTGGCTTCTGTGGCTGGACTGCAAGGAGTGTACACACAGACAGACACACACAAACACACAGACGCACACACACACCCTTTCACACCAAACCAATCTCATCGCTTCTCCTCCTCTTGCCTATATCGGTGGGTTAAGCATTGCGTTTGGCCCTTTTAGTGTTTTCCGTTCCGTTCTTCCCTTGACGATAGTTTTGTGTATTTTAAATAAAGATTTCATTCTGCCAACCCGCAGGAAGCTTTTAACAAGATGCAGCTGAGCGTGTCGATATCTTATATCTTTTTACTGCTGCTCCGGCGTGTACATCTACTCCAAACTCATTTCTTTCCTTCTCTGCCTGATACTGTAGCATCTCAGAGACGTCGGCGGCGGCAGCAGTAGCACAGCACTGCTCCCGGGGGGCACTTTTACTTTGCCCTCAAAGTATCTGCCAGCAATGAGAAGCATCTGAATCCCCCAACCCCCTTCGCTACAGCAAAATGCTGGGGTGTTCGATGTAAGATTTCAGTTCCACTGGTAACAGTACAGTCTTGGAGCGGTGGGGGTGGGGATTTTCTTTCTGTTTAAAATACAATTTTTTGTGTACGCTATCTTTAATTAAGATTTTTTTTCTAGAAATAGATCCCATTGAGATTTAATTTACGAAGGTATTTCTAACGCTGGTCAATACTATCTTCCAAGAGGAACATTTGCAATCATTTGCCTCCCCAGAACGATGCTCAAATGTTCTTCACAGACCTTAAACCGTTTATGAAAGACTAGAAAAGGGTGGTGTTTTTTTTTTTTTTTTTTTTTTTTTTTTTTTTTTTTTTTTTTTTTTTTGAGCGGGGGAAAGGGTGGGGTTGTGGAGGAAGGGAGCTGGTTGCATTTTTTTCCTCTTTGTTTTCTTTTTACTTTTTACTTCATCTGCATTAAAATACAACTTTGCCGGTTACCTCCTATTGATTTCTATTTTTTAAGAGACGCTATGTTTTTCCTTTCCCAGTGGGATGTTTTGAATCAAGGTGATTCTTCCCGCGATACGCGTTTCCTAGCCGTTAGCTGCACGGTTCCAGCTTGCTGGCACCCTGCTCCTCTGCCACCGCTGAGCCGTAACCTCCTCCTCATGCCAAGGTTCCAGCACCAGCTTAAACCCAGAGAGGCACCTCACGGCCCTAAGGCTCTGCAGACGCTCAGCGCAGCCAGAGGCCCTTGCGGCTGCCAGAAGAAATCTCCCTCCCGGGTGTTCAGCGGAGGGCTCCGCCCGCCCGCAGCAGAGAGCGCAGCCCCCACAGCGCGGTGGACGACGCGGGGCGGCCGGGGGTCTCCACAGCCTCGGCCGCAGCTGTCCGGGCTCGCCCCGCCGGCGCCGCACGGCAGCAGGTCAGGGGGAGCACCCTGCCTCCGCCCCGAAAAGAGGCTACGCAGGAACTGCCCCTAGTAAACGTGACAGCGTGGTCAGCTCGAACGTAGTTTTAGCTCCGGGATTTAGCCTACTAACTAAAGCATTACCCTTAAATATAAGCGATGGAGAGCTCCTGATACACCCGGCATTGAGCATTGTTGGTTTGTCTTTAAGATTCGGCACGGCTAAATTTGACCTGTTTTGAATTTTGAGATTAAGTATTCAGAAAAACAAACTGAATAATACAAAAAGAAAATTTCCCTCCCCACCCCCAAGAAAAAAAAATCTAAAAAAAAAAAAAAAAGAGAGAAGATATAAAATAAAAAAGGGCGTGAGTGAAGATTGCATCTATTGTAGAATACACCTTTATTAAGACACAATGCAACACAGTGAGAGAGAAATATTTTATCCCAAGGGTGTTTTCCCTTTTGACAGATAGCTTGTGTGTTGCTTTAATTTATAACTAAACATAGCATCAGTAATGTCTTCTTTATTAATGTAAAATTTCTGATTTTATCTTTATAGTAAAACAACGTAAAACGCAGTAGAATATTTAACCATTTTCCAACATTTAACACTTCACATCAAATTGAAATTACATATCTTTCATTCCTATGTTCCTTTGATCTTCAGTCTCTTTTTTTTTTTTTTTTCTTTACTTATTTTTTTCAAGACATTAATTCATGTCTTATTCCTACATTTCATTGCAAATTTCTTCACAGGAATAAATTCTGCAGTTTATATATTGATATATATATATTACCTTTCACAAGTACCAAAGTTTAATGCAATAAGTAAGTTCAGAGACCACTTCACCATTATTTATGTGCAGACTGAATGAAGCACCTATCCTGTATCCCCAGCATTACACTGTGCTTTTTTAACTTTGTGAAAACTGGATTATATTCAACGTTATAAATTGTTATCAATGTGTTTGTGTGAGAGGAACTCTGAAAAAATCCATGGGGATGAAAAATCACAAAGAAGTAAATGAGAAAAGTAAAATGTTCTAAACAATAACTTTACAATAAAAAATATATCCTTTCAGTACATAATCAATCAGTCAATCAATCTCCAAGCTTCAATGTGTGATAGATCTTATCAGAAAGACCTGTCATGTGAAAAAAAAAAATGAGCTAAACTTAGAACCAGTACTGTACCTATACACAACCAATAGACCTTCTGTTTGGACCTACTGAAAGGTGATTTCTCTGTCAACTTTTTTTAGGTAAAGTAGTAAATATTCTGTTTTATACACCACCAGCACTTGTTTTTGGACATAATCTATTTCTTTTTCCTAAGGTAATAGTGAAGAGTGACACTGAGGTTGGATATTTTAAAAATAGTGACAATGAAGGTAGTACAGAGGAAAAGAAAAAAATAAGAAAATTGCAGATGACAATATTTGCATGCAAAATGACATCTTATTTTACTTACGTCTTTAGGTCTTTGTGGGCTCATAGACTTTTTTTTTAACCAACTGCATTTCTTTTTTTTTTTTTTTTTTTTTTTTTTTTTTTTTTGTGGAACATCACCGAAGGATTATGAGATGAGATGTAGACATCTCTCCTTTAGTATGAGGCATATAAATAACCACAGTGAACATACAGAGGTCAAAGCATCCAATCCCAAAATAAAGCTCATGAAAGAAGAACAGAAGATACATGTGGAATAACACTCAAAGGTATCTTTTGTGAAACTACTCTTAAGTAGTTTTTCTAGGACAGAGTATACTATCCTGCAAGGAACTGAGAAGATGACCCAGAAATCTGCAAACAGATGGAATTTAAAAAAGACAATTCCTGCAACTCCAGTTAAAAAAAAAAAAAAAAAAAAAAAGGCACCTACAGGCAGCTCTGAAACTGTGATATCTTAGCATCATTAATCTATGTGACGCAGCTCTATCAGGATAAGCTCCCTGTAGCTGTACCTTCCTTATTCATACTTGTCAGAGCTAAATACTTTATTATAAAGGAGGATGGAAAACATTCAAATGCACAATTACACAGTACCAGTATTAATAATATTCTTCCCCAATAATCATATTTTAAGGCAGACAGGTTAAAGATACTAGAGAAAAGCCGATATGTATTTTTCTTCTCCCTGTATTCAAAACAGAACTGACCATTTTTCAATAGAAGCTTGTGTCTGTACACTATACATATATGAAATCCGCATGGAATGGGAAAAGTTAAGACAGAATTGCAAGCATATGCCTAAATTTGCTTCCCTAGAAAATAAGAGAAATTTCATTTAGGTGTTTCCTGTCTTTGGATTCCAAGATCCCTAAATACCCTTGTTGAAATACCCTTTCATTTTGATTGTGATTTCCCTTGTATAAAAAGGAGTAGACACACATGCAAGAGTTGGAAGTCCAACAAGTCATAATGGCATTTTCTTAGGCAAAGGACTGTAGCTCAGAGAATATGATAGGATACTGTGATAAGAAAAAAAATACCATTTTTTTTTGAGGTTCATATTTATTATAATAACTACACTCTATTATAGATATGCAACCATGTCTCCAAGTGTATGTACTTTACAAATGTTAATAATGCTACTTGCATTTGGTAGTGTTTCTGTTAAATAAAAAGAGTTTATAAAAATAGTACACTATAAGATGTACAAGCTGTTCTTTACTGTCTTTTTTTTTTTTTTTTTCCTTTTAATCAAGATGCTAAATGGGTCTTTGGGTCCCCATTATTCAGAAAATATTTTTCCCTCTATGACTGAATATGACTGAATACTTTTTTTTTTTTTTAATTATTCTGACCTT